TCGGTACAGTTGTGAAGATTGAACGGATGTGATCAGTTTAGGTATAACTACATGGATCTAACGAATCGACGACCGAATGTTTTGCTTTTTTCTTTTAGGAACTTCTAGCACATCTTTGTATCAGTCTTTAGTATTGTGCTTTCAGTATATAACTAGACCATGAAGCCGCGCGTTGCCGCGCCCGCCCATCGTTGATGCAATAACAGAGATGCTTTTGAAAATTTATGTTTGTTTTATGTTTGTTTTGAACATTGCTCCATGATATGTTCAGAATATGGGTAGGAATGACCGTCTTTTCCTTTAATTAAAGATGAATGCACAAGTTTGTAATTTATTATTTGTATTTGTCCGAACTGTAATGCTAGTTGAGTGGGTAGTGGAAAGTTAATGATTCAGTTACCATTTTACTTTACACTTAATTAACACTATAAAACTGTGTCTTGGTTTGCTCTTTATAATGACCTGTTGTAAGCTGCATGTGGGTTAGTGTCAGACGAAGCAAGAAGAGTGAAGTGCACTGTAGGTCCTCGAACTATTTCAGGGGTGTCACGTAGGTCCTCGAACTATGAAAATTGTCATACAAGTCCTCAAAGTGTAGTAACTGTGTCATTCGGGTCCAAAATCTCCCTGACCCCCTCTAACCGGCCAGCTGGCGGCGTTAAACATGAACAATGAAATAGTGAACTGTGAACAGTAAAACAGCGTTAAATTCCGAGCATCATTTCTGCACGTGATGAACAGTGTACGATGAACAGTAAAATAAAAAAAAAAACTGACAACCTTTGACATCGAAGATACCCAGGTGTATGAACATTAAAATGTTCATTAATTCAGAAAAATGTTCGCGAATGATGAATTTGGAAAAAATATACGCGACTTTAAAAAAATGTTCACGGACGATGAATTTGGAAAAAATATTCGCGACTTTAAAAAATGTTCGTGAATGATGAATTTGGAAAAAATATTCACGACTTTAATTAAAATGTTCGTACCTTTAAAGAAATGTTCATGAACGATGAATTTGGAAAAAATATTCATGAATTTTAGAAAAATATTCATGAATTTTAGAAAAATATTCATGAATTTTAGAAAAATATTCACGACTTTAAGAAAATGTTCGCGAACGATGAATTTGGAAAAACTATTCATGAATTAAAAAAAATGTTCACTAACATTTTTTTAAAGTCAAATATATTTGTGGTTCGCGAACATTTTTTTAATGTCGCGAACATTTTTTCCATGCCTGCGAACAATATTTGTGGTTCGCGAACATATTTTCAAATTTATTGTTTGTGAACATTCTTCTAAAGTTGCGAATAACTTTTCCATATTCGCGAACATTTCTTTGAATTAGTGAACATTTTTACTGTTCACGCACCAGGGTATCTTCAATGCCAAAGAATTTCAGATTTTTTTGATTTTTACTGTTCATCACGTACAAAAATGATGTTGGAACTGGAACGCTATTTTACTGTTCAGTGTTCACGGTTAACGGCGCCAGCTGGCTAGTTAGAGGGGGTTAGGGAGATTTTGGACCTGAATGATACACTTATTGCAGTTTGAGGACCTGGATGACGATTTTCATAGTTCGAGGACCTACATGACACCCCTGAAATAGTTTGAGGACCTACATTGCACTTCACTCAAGCAAGAAGGATCCATGGCTACGGTGGCAAGAGGTAATATATTTCACATGATTAAATTATTTGTAACTGTCTTGGTGATTCTCCTTTCACAATTATGTGTACGGGTTAGCCCGAATATACATATAACTTGGGGATTGTTTACGTCTCTCGGAAGGTAATTTTAGATGAAATTCTTAAGAAGATTGATGGAAGAAGAGCCGAGTATAGTTGCATGAAAGTCGTTATTATTAGCATAAAGAAAATATGTCAGGTAGACTTGACCAGGCCGTTGAACACTGATGTGGATGCTGAGGAAGATGCAGCTATAGCCATGATAGAGAAGCTCACTGAATCATATAGGTTTGAGATTGATGATACGACGGAGGAATTGAAAAAGTGAAATCCTTGTGCTTGAAAATCTGAGAAATCAACAAGTTGAAGCCACGAAGGTGTTGATGAACAAAGATTATATGTGATTTAGAAACAATTTTGTAGAGAAAACAAAATCCTGCATCATGTCCAAAAACTTGACCTCTTTTAATATCATCACTTAGTTCATCTTGCTTCGTTTTGTCAATGTCAGGCCAGATCTGAACTCAATTTATTTTCGAACAATAAACAGCGGTTCTGTTCTAAGCATGTGTAACAATGAACCTGTAGCTGGGATGTAGCCCTACCACATCATGTGTACGGGTTGTATTGGCCAGGTCTGTAATGGCAGCAATATGCGTAATAATCTAGCATTTTAATTATTTTGCAAGCCTTGGGAGGTAATAGGTGAGCATCAGTGTATTGAATGCCAAATGAAATTCAGGATCACCATGTGGGAATAATATTGAGTACTGTAAGGGCATAAGGGAATGATTTAAGTTGGAGATGTAGTGCAAGCCACGTTGCTTGTCATGCATGATAATATCTCTCTTGAATGTATCAGTTGCGAAAAACACCAACAATTAGCAAAGCAATGTTGTCAGACGTAGGTAAATTATGTTGGACATCTGCATCTGATTGTGGACCCAATATTCTAATGGTATGCACTGGTCAGGTTAGTCCTTTATTCGGTCCCTAGCAATTCTAAACTGTTATCATTACACAAAGCACACATTCTATTTTCAATTTCTTTGTCAGTCTGGTGATCATGGATATACAGTAGGGCAAATTTAGGCTTCTGGCCTGTTTGAGGAATTAATGAGCCTACCTGTCCGCTTATTCTTCCTACCAGAAAGCTGCATCACAGTGTCGGCATCTAAAACATGGGTGAACCAAGATTTGATCGACCACAGTAAGTAGCTGAAATTACCAGCAAGAGTGCAAAGTCAGATTTAAACGGGAAAAACAGGATGCAGAATATTTGTGCAGAGGTCAGTAATCTAGTGAAACCTTCAAGGGTATCGATGAATGGGGTTGTCCATTGGGATCAGATGGTGACCCTTTGCCGAACCATTTTAAATTGGTCCCTTAATTTGATGCAGGTTTTTCCCTTGTGTGTCACACAGAGTAGTGAGGGAAGAATTCATCTCCTGGTTTGTATGGCAGTATAGAACACAATTATCAAGGAAACAGAAATCTCGTAAAGTAGCACAAGTAGAGGTGAATTAATACTATTTGTTTTTGGTTCCAATCGAATTGTATATAGTAACTGGTTCATTAATCCTTGTCTGCCTACATTGCGGCAGGACTCCACTTGGTCTGCTAGCGCAATGTAACGGCAGGACTCCACTTGGTCTGCTAGCGCAATGTAACTGGCACGCATCGCTTCCATGGGCTTGTAATCGAAACGTTTAGGCATTTTTACTCTACTTAGGTCCAGTACGTGTCATAGACAGATTGTATGAAATCTGAAACAAGAAATGGAAAGGAAGCAAACAAAATGGATGTGGCTGGTTGGAGTGAAAATCAAACAAATTCCTATGTAACAACTAAAATCACAGTAATCAAGAAAACATAGTAGATGATCAAAAGACAACCGTATGTAAGAGTATTTGTGAGCATGATACCTGTCCAGAAGCCATGGTTGTAATTGGGTGTAACACACACACCCTCAAGCAATTTCAACACGCAAATCCCAAGGAATGAGGATTGCAAAACTGCAAGGAAGAAATAGGAAGTCACTTCCATAGATACGAAGACATGGAGGAAAATTAGAGGGAGGAAGATGGATAGTTGGCAAGAACAAACCTAGGCAATAGGCATGGCCAAGAGAGACACTGAAGGTAGGAAGGAAGAGATGGCGCAAGGAATAATATATGAAGCAGAGTGGGAGATTGGGGTAACGCACCAGGGCAAATTAATCACCATCATCACCCCTGAAACTAATTACCATCATCACCATTATCACAGGAGGTAGACAGTGGACCTTTAACACCGCAGTTTCAGCTTCGGTTACGGGATGGGAAGGGACGCGCGGTACAGCTGCAAGGCATGGACAAAGGGTGCAGGAGGAGGACAGTCGGCGATGGACGCCGACAGCGCGGATGGCCGCCGCAGCCGCCATGGA